GCCCGGCGAGTTCGCGCAGGAAATAAGAAACATCAAGAACCAGTTGGAAATTATTGACGCAGAACGTTACAGAGGGGCCGTCGTGCGTGCGCGATCCGAAAGACTTTGGTGCAGCGAAAAGCCGACAAAGCGCGCGCTTAGTGACGAACAGAGATACGCGCGGCAGAATGAGATAAATGAAATCAGCTACGGCCACTCGGTAACGCGTGATAAGATAACAATTCGACGGGCGTTTGTCGAACACTATCGCGAGTTACTTGGGCACTGCGCGCCATTACAGGACGGTTTTGACAGCGAGTTTTTGCTGCTAATGCCCAAGCTAGAAGAGCATCTTCGTATCAGCTTGGAAGCGCCGATTAGTGTCCGCGAAATAGAGCGGGCCATTGACGAGTTAAGCGCAGGAAAGACACCCGGTCCTGACGGCCTAGGCTCCGAGTTTTACAAAATGTTTAAATGGGAATCAGCAAATGCCCTTTACCATGTACTAACCGAGGCCTATGATTTAAATATTTTGCCGCCATCATTCTTAAGAACACACACTGTCCTTATACCCAAGAGCGATGACCCCGTAAAACTTTTGTCCGTGGCATCCTACAGACCTATAAGTCTAGCGAATGTGGACTACAAAATCTACATGAAGGTCCTGGCTCAAAGATTACAGTCCGTAATTAAATGTTTAGTGGGGCCACATCAGACGTGTGGTATAAAAGGGCGTACCATTTGTACGAATATACATGTCGCAAGAAGCATTTTAGAATGCTGCGACGCTTTCTCCAGTCGAGTTGCAATGTTGCAGCTCGACCTGGAGAAAGCGTTCGACCGCGTATCGCATCAAGTTCTTTTCAATATTCTGGAGTATGTTAATGTAGGTAGTGTTATTCTAGACGGTCTCAAAATGGCTTACAAAAACTGTACTACGCGCTTAATTGTTAATAAGGATGTTAGTGAGAGTGTCGACGTCCGCTGTTCTGTGAGGCAAGGTTGCCCACTGTCGCCCTTGCTTTTTGCTATTTATTTAGAACCCTTTTGTTTGCGACTTCTTCAAGACGAAAGAATTAATGGTTTTAGAATCCAGTCAAGCGAGGTGAAAGTTCTGGCGTACGCGGACGACGTTGCCGTTTTTTGTACTGATCGAGATAGCGTGCGCGAGGTGGTCACTGTTGCATCTTCTTTTTGCAAAAAAACGGGGAGTTTGATTAACTGGGGAAAATGTGCTGGTTTTTGGCATGGTAACTGGGACGCGACGCCTAGTGTTTTTTTGAACATCCAGTGGACGGCCTTGCCAGTCAAGTATCTTGGGGTGCCGCTCGAACATTATCGAGACAGCTCGCGGTATTGGAACGAGGAGACGGAGAAGGTCCGGACAAAAGCGGAAAGTTGGAAGGGTCGTGAACTCTCGATGTTTGCACGGGCTACTGTATGCAATATTTTTTTGATAGCGAAAGTGTGGTATGTGTTGCAAGCGCTGGCTATGTCGCGTATCAACGTGCAAAAGATACACAGAGTATTTGCAGTTTTTATTTGGGGATCAGTTTGGGAGCGCTCTTCCCGCACGAATTTGTTCCGTTCAGTGCGATGCGGTGGGTTAGGACTGTCTCACCTGTTCATCCGACAAATTGTGTCTCGGTTTATTTTTCTCCGTGATCAAAATGATGTTTTTTTACGCACAGTTATCCAAGTAAGAATGCGAAATATTCTACCAGAGTTTGTGGTGTCATCGAGTACCGAAGCGAGTGGCAGTGTCCGTGGTTACCTGCGAGAAGTTCTTTTATCTTTTAAGATGTTGAAGGTGCGTTTTTCTTTAGAATACCTGAGTAATGTAACGCGAAAGAGGTTGTATAAAGATTTAGTTGACGTCTTATTGCCCGTACCCCTTTACAGATCTCTATATTCGCAGGGAACGGGTCAGGATGTACTAAAAAGAGTTAAAAGAATGCCGATAAAACCAGCGGTTAAATCCTTTTTCTTTGGACTACACAGCGGCACACTCCCTGTGAAGTCGTGGCTTGAGAGTAGGGGGATATTCGTTCCATGGACAACCAACTGCCTGCTCTGTAAAAGACCGGAGACCATAGAGCATGTCTTCATCGAATGCTGGGACGCAGTTTTTTATTGGGATATTCTCCAGCGCACATTAAAAAAAGGACTTTCCTGTAACACCGTTCGGTATTCGGTTTTTGCCCATCGAAAATGAAGGTGGGGTTCCGTACGACATGATTATGGTACTCGGTCTTCACAGTATTTGGAAAACGAGAATGGCTGTGCGCCATGCGGACGTCGATGTACGCTCAGTGCGAGAAAACTTTATTGAGAGCGTGGCATACATTCGAACAGTTCTTGCGGCACAGCCTGAACCCCCTGACTGGTTGCCGCTTCTAAAAAAGCTGGTGTGCCTTAAACGATTTTAAATGTAACCGCGCTGGTCTAGCGGAGGTTGTCGGTTTCTCTTTTAACACTCTCATGTGTGTACTTGGTGCAATTGTCAAAACAGGCAATAAAGAAAAAAAAAAAAAAAAAAAAAAAAAGCACTGGATAGCTCAGTCGGCAAAGCACTTGGCTTACAATCTTCAGGTGGTTAGTTCAAATCTTTCCCGGGACTGATGTCTATTCATATGGTGTATGATGGGCGTAACGTTGTCGGTGTCAGTTTTTCTTTACAGCCGGCTGTTGCAGCTGGTCTTACAACCGGCAGTTACAGCCGGCTGCTAGAGCAGCTCATATATCGGTTTATAAAACATATTTTTTGTTAGTACAATAGACCGATCTCACTAAGTGTTCCACGCATTTGTGACGCCTCAATAACTAGGAGGTACCCGACAGTTTACGAGACAGCTCGAGGATTCGTGCTCTGCTCGGGCAGACCCTCAGCAGAGTTGTCACTCGCGCAGAAAGACTACAGTTCCCCCTATGCATGGCGGCAGAGGGGGAATAATGAAACTGGATATGCGATCGGCCTATTCTTCATTAAAGCCGTCAAATGTACGCCCCTTCAACTCGCAGCCAGAACAGCCGGAATTGGTGGACACGTGATCTGGTGCCAATTAGACTATGTCGCAAATGCTAGTCGTAGCAACTTGCTGGGATTTGCATAGTACAGGACCTGTGCTGAGCTCCAGATATTCGTAGAGTTTGGTTATTTCCGTTAAAGCAGCAACGGCATGCGAGCCATTACCTAAACGTTAGCCGAACCTTTGATTCTCGACGGGACCCCTGCCGAGTGATCATGCAGTGCTCGTGTGAACTCCATAGACTTCACTTCACGATCCTCAGGGGTGATCTCAGGGACTGCGTGAACCCTTCGATTTCTGTCACTTCGTGATGAAGTATTGCGAGAGAGATGCTGAAATACATAGCTTACTTTTATTCTTAAAATCGCACCTCAAAAAGTTAGTCGTTAGTACCGCATGCCCTATATTTACGTTAGACTACTATCATATGTCTTATGGGGCGACTCTATCCAGAAAAAAAGCAATTTCTGCAAAAAAAACCTAGAGTTTGAAAAATGTCATGTTTACATACACCAACATCTAGAGAGTATTCCCACAAAGGTTTCTTAGTTAACACTGTATAGTTCTTTTTTTTTATAAATTATTTTCGGTTTACCGATGCTAAGGAAAAGGTAGATTTTGGAGCACTTTGTACGCATCTTTCTTCATTACACTTTTTGGCATAAATTTCACTTTAGGAAAACTATCTTTTTGATATTACGTAACTTGGATTCACGTTTTTTGTTTTTCTGGGGCGAACGTTTTGAGAGGAAGATAGCTATGAGCTTGTATATTTTATTTTTGTCAGTTTTCATGCTGAAGAACTTAAGTTTTTGGCAAAAAATGGAAATCTAAAAAAATCTGGTTTTTTTTTTTTTGCCATGAAAGTTGGTGTAATATCGAAATAAAGCTCCATAGCTATCTGCCCTGAACTGTCCTAAAGCAATATAATACATGAAAACGACAAATTTATAAGTAATTTCAAAACGTTAGTTTTCCTATGAAGACACGCTCATTTTCATATTTGAACATTTGCAATTTTGTTTGTACTTCACCCAGGTTAACAAAATTTGGCTGAAATGTTCGCAACGTCATCAGAAACAAGCCCTGTAAATGTCATTTAAGTCCAACAAGTGGTTCAAACATTCGATTTTATGGGTAGCGTCCCTGTTTATGGGTACAGTAAAAAAAAAAACACAAAAAACATCAAATGTCTTATGGTAGCACAACCCCTTTAAAATCGGTTCCTTGGGTTTTCAAAACACCATGTGCCGCTTTTGTTGGAATCCCTTGGAAAGAAAGCTGCCCTCACGAAAATATTACTCGTGATCACAACAAAAAGTGACCAAATGAATTTAGAGCTAGTAATTGCAAGTGCAATTCACCGAAATGTTTTACTTAATTTTGTTCCCATGATCAGAAAACAAATTAGGGCTTAAGGTAGCCATTACTCTTCTTAAACGCAGTGCCTTATACAATGTTTGGAATAGTGTCATGTGTGAAGTGACGAGACGTTGTTCGGTGAAGAAACTAAAGTTTAAATCAAGGCGAACTTGTGCTAAAAAGAAGGGTTAAAAGAACAGGTGTCGAAAGTGAGCGACGATGTCGGCGAAGAGGCAGAATATGGCGCAAGCGTAAGGATGACCACGGCTTGCCACACTGAGCCTCTTATGCATAGAAGGGTCGACCCGTAGAACATTCTAACCTCGAATCAGCCAACACGGTGCTTGAATTTACCAAAAAATCACATTACAGAGTCAACAAAAATGTATACCCGCGGCCAGGCGTTTTGCGTAGGCAAGCGCGATAACCGTTAGGCCACAAGCGCGCTGCCTAATTGGTCAGCTGCATGCGCGCGGCGATGTTTGTTAGCTCAGCCACCTCTTACTTCAGATTTACAAATAATTCATCTATAATAATAAGCACAATCAATTCTATCACATTCAGAAACTATTTTTTTTCTGCAGAAAGGTTGATCACGCAGAAGAATGACGCAATCATATTTTCTTCCAGGTTGTTGAGCGCTTTATTCCCTCAAGCCACGACATCGAAGACAGTTCGGCCCTTACTCCGTACATGCTTGGCATCCTTGAAAGCGCCAACCTAAAGCCACGCAGGTGCGATGTGATGACTATAAACATAATCGACATTGGTGTGGACAAATTCATTCGTAAGTCTTTCTTCACAATCCTAGCGAGGTTCCTCATTTCCACGAGCGTAGTGCACGAGCAGCGAGATCCCAGACCGTGAATTTATTTCACTCGTGCACGTAAGTCGCAGTCAAACTGCGGATACATATTATAAAAGACAAGTTGCAGACGCCCTTTGAGCAGTGGTCCTTTCTTGTAAAACGCCCCATTTTTCGTAAAAAACACTATGTGCAGACATGTTTGAAGCATACATATGTCTGCAGCAAACTCGCTTCGAACACGCTTGAGTAACACTTGACGCGCGTCGGCAGATAATTATGTCCTCCTGCTTTCAGCGCACATAGTGCTTTCTGTATGATGTGTGAGTATTGCGACTCCGGCTCTGGGTTGCTCATGATCTACAGCGCAGCTGCATCTGAACACAGCGCCTTTTTTCAGCTGCCATCGAGTATAGGGGCATGGCCTCTTAAATGTTCCCCGCGCTCTGCTCCGGCCTTTCCATGCGCTCAGCTGCCCAGCAGAAAAGGTGATTTGAGTCTGTTCACTAGATCGCCTCACGCGGTGCTTAGTAACAGGCCAGAAACGGAAACATATTCTTCTCAAATCACGCTGTGAAGTGTGAGCCCGCGGCATGAAGCTTGCATCTTTATTGTTCTCATCATCATAATAGAGAAAGGGTAGTCGGAGTCTCTTCATTCGTAGTTTTTATTCGGTTCCCCGGTCTTTGGGCTGTTTCGCTGGATGAAAAATCCTCAGAATGAAAAATCGGAGGAGGATGAAACCAGCTTGGCGTAAGACGTGTTTTTCGCATCGTCAGACAGCCAGCTACACTAGTGCCACCCACCATGTCTTCGATTGACCGAGTGGTCAGGCGGTTTGTTTACAAGAGCGACAGCAAGCTGGGAGACTTTAGAGCCCGCTTTCGCAAAGACCGCGCCGCCCGACCAATGCCGACCGACCCCTGGAGCCCTACCACGGTTGTGCTGGACTCCCTGTGTCGCCGGAAATGAGCCGACTCGTCTACAAGCCGAGGCCATAGCATTCGCGCTGTAGAGACTGTTACTGCGGGGCGCTTGGTGGCGGTCACAAAATCGTAAGAATTTTTTCTACACCTTGTGGTTTTCGAAAAAGCGAACCTTCAAATTTCGATCAAGTTTTTCCTTCCCAGATGTATGTGTGTTGGAGCGAGAGGTTGGGAGAACATTTTATGCGGCTCCTAAGTTTTGAAGACGAACGATAATGGAAATGATGATAATTCGCGGCTATTTCTTTGTGTTGTTTGGCTTGGTTGCGAGTACCACCAAGCACCCTGCAGTCAGAGTCTCTACAGCGTGAATGCAACTGCTTGAGGACCGCAGAAAGAGCGCGAAATATATCGGAAGCGATGACAGAGGTATTAAATAACGGCCATAGATGAGTGCCTAGCTGCTCAGCATGCGCTGTCGGCAAGCTTCGAAAGAGCTTTTGCAACGTTCATCCCGCACCATCAAGGTTGCTAATATTTTAAACCAGTAAGTGTCAGCTCGTTTTGAGCATGCCCAGTGTACAGTGCACTCAAATAGGGCTTCAAATGTATACCACTATAGCTTTTTTTTGTAAATTGCTGTTTGTTTTAACTTTTTTGTCAGACCTTTCGTACAATATAATGAACATGGTTAAAATCGCGCACAAAGAGACGAGGACAAACGAGGAAGGAACACAGAACACAGACAGGCGCGCACTCACAACTCTAGTATATTAAGTGAAGAAGAGAAAGATGAAGCACTATTTTTTACAGGGGACAACGTCACCAGGGGGAAACAGATCACCCGCAGTCAAATGATCGCAAGAAGGCAACTTCTTTTTCACTCAAAGCAACCGACGGCTGGCTAACGCAGCGATCGCTCAGGCTCAAGATGGTGAACGCCTCGAGCACCTCGCGCGTTTGTTTTTCTTTGAAGCGGCCAATGATTGATGGTTTTTCTAAAGATGGTGTGCACATACAGGTTTTACAGTGCACCGAAAGGTGACCTCCTACATTAGATGTTAAAGAAAGTTTATGCTCTCGTAGCCGGTCATTCAGACACCGTCCCGTCTGACCAACATAGCATCTTCCACATGAAAGAGGGATGCTATAAACAACGCCCGATGAACAGGGAACAAATGGCCGCACATGTTTCTTGTGGCACGTGTTTTTGGATAATTTTTCCGCCTTTTCACGAACCTTAGAAGCGGAAAAATTATCCAAAAACACGTGCCACAAGAAACATGTGCGGCCATTTGTTCCCTGTTCATCGGGTGTTGTTTATAGCATCCCTCTTTCATGTGGAAGATGCTATGTTGGTCAGACGGGACGGTGTCTGAATGACCGGCTACGAGAGCATAAACTTTCTTTAACATCTAATGTAGGAGGTCACCTTTCGGTGCACTGTAAAACCTGTATGTGCACACCATCTTTAGAAAAAACATCAATCATTGGCCGCTTCAAAGAAAAACAAACGCGCGAGGTGCTCGAGGCGTTCACCATCTTGAGCCTGAGCGATCGCTGCGTTAGCCAGCCGTCGGTTGCTTTGAGTGAAAAAGAAGTTGCCTTCTTGCGATCATTTGACTGCGGGTGATCTGTTTCCCCCTGGTGACGTTGTCCCCTGTAAAAAATAGTGCTTCATCTTTCTCTTCTTCACTTAATATACTAGAGTTGTGAGTGCGCGCCTGTCTGTGTTCTGTGTTCCTTCCTCGTTTGTCCTCGTCTCTTTGTGCGCGATTTTAACCATGTTCAACGTTTACCAACTCGCCCAACTTACTACTCTTCTACAATATAATGAACATTTGTCCTAGATATATCCTAAGAATAATAGTGATAAAATTGCAACTAAATGGAAAGGTGCAAGCGAGCTGTACAACTGTGACAAAAATAATCGCTTGAGAAGGGGGAACAACAGGGACAAAGGACAAACACAAATCTCCAAACATATCTAGGTGACTGGTGCGCGACCGAAAAAACCCGCCTGGTCCGGGTATTGAACCTGGGACCTCTCCATTTCTACTGGTCGCGCACCTTTCCAGTGGTCGCGCGCCTGTCTGGAAATTGGTGTTTGTCCTTTATCACCCTTGTTCCCCTTCTCCATGGGTTATTTTTGTTGTGAAATATCAGAGACTCCACAAGCTGAGGTCGAGCGGAAATTATAATGTACAACTTGTGCTATCACCTGGGGAGTGTATGCTTGGCTCAGGGGCGCTTCTTCAGATGTAGAAAAGGCGATGACACCGAATTTGATGTTCCAATCGCTTGAGTAAAGGAAGTCGTGCTGCGTTGCTGGTGATTGCAGCTACAATCCAATTTATATACTGTCCAATAAGATGCACATCCACGTGTAAAAAAAAATGATACGCACAACTGCAATGCCTTCCCTCCCCTTTATCATACACTCATTCCAAATCACATTTTTATAGGCAACTACATTCTGTTTAGTCCAGATCTGAAGAACATATACCGCTATACAGTACATTGTTTGATATCCTTGCTTTTCTTGCTTCAGAGTTGCAAGGGGTAGAGCTGATAGATATCTCTAGTTTTCCTCTTAACATCGTTACTGTCAGTTCGCACGTAGGTGTAGCTACATGCATGTTATTTAAGACGCAAATTCGCCTCTCTTCTCAAAGCCGGCAACGTTTTGAAATAGGGAGACTAATAAAAATCCTAAAAGGAAACGCTCATTCTGCTCTGATCGAGAACTCTAAGCTACTTTCCATTCCAATCTAGTACCTTGCGTTCAAAATCTGCTTTAAAGCCCGGAGAAAAATATCGATGGACCCTATAGGTGCGCCGCGTCTCACTTTAACACTGTGTTTTCAGCTGAAGCACGAACAAGTTTTTCAGATCAGCTGCCGCGGAACCCCAGCTGGAGAATTTCTGATGGCAAAGCACATCTAAAAACTCTCACCACTACGGAGCATCTGTTTGCAAAGTCGACTCATACGCATCTAGACGCACGAAAAACGCACCCTACGCGTGTGGGGCGACCCCCGTAACTTTGAAAAGCACCGCTGCATCTACATGTCCTTAAACAGTCATACAACCAGTGATTGTCGGGTATGGATTGGCGAATCATTAGCTTTATATATATATATATATATATATATATATATATATAGGGTGGTTCAAGTCACCAGGCTCGATCTAAAATGGACCGTAAAAATCGACGCCTGCACGTAACCATCTAAACTTTTCGTCAAAGGTGTATCTCACAGGTCGTTTTTTTTCTTTAAAATTACAAAGCGTAGCTCTGTTTCTGCAAAAAAAATAAGGCCAAGAAACTTGCCAGGGTCCACGGCGGGCAGCAATGCAGACGACAGGAGCCCAGTAGCGGGGTGTGATTGGCGTTCGTATTGACAGGTGGCGCTACCTCCTAATCGCGACGGCTCGCGACCACCGTAGTTTATTAAAATGAATACAATATTTTTGAAATGTACCTTCGGTTAAAAAATGAATGCAAACAATAAAAACAAAACTTAAAATAAAAAAATAAAATAAAAAAACGCGTCTGCATAACGGCGGCGCTTTTGCTGCCAACAGTTTTCGTCTGCGTGTCGTCTGCTATCTTTCGCTGGTCGGCTGCACCTTCAGAGGCTGCTCCCGACGCCATCTATCAATACGAACGGCAAACACTGCCTGCTACTGGACTTGGTAGTCTGGGTCACCGCCCGCCGTAGACCCTGGCAAGTTTCTTGGCCCTATTTTTTACTAAAAGAGAACTACGCTCTGTAATTTTACAAGAAAGAACCGACCTGTGAAATACACCTTTGACGAAAAGTTTAGATGGCTACGTGAAGGCGTCGATTTTTACGGTATATTTCAGATCGAGCCTGGTGACTTGAACCACCCTATATATATATATTAGTGTGTCGAACCGAAAAAAATACGGGTTCGGTTACGGTTCAGGTTCAGGTAAATTTATTTTGTTCCGGTTCAGTTCCGGGTCGATTAATTCGATCCGCGAACCGGTTCGCGAACCGGTTTGGAAATTATAAATGACAAATTGCA